TGAAAACTCCCACCTCCCCCTCACACTGTCTCTCTCCAGACAACCGCACCAGACCATTGTGAAGAGCCAGAGAGGAACCTGAGTGAAATGTGGCATTTTATTAATATATTGCAAGGTAATTTATGTACTTAACTTTTTTTTTAATAAAATCCTCTCACCAGAGCAAATTACTCCAACATCTTGTCTGTGAGAACATTCAGCTCGACTCCATGAAGAGATGGAACATTCTGAGAGTTTTGTTTCATTCCCGTCACAATCAAAAACATCAGTCCAGATTTCATCACTTCCCTCTCCAAACCAGTCTGATCCCACAACAGACACAGCAATCCCACAATTTAGCTGTCTACAGAGGACACTGGCAGCTCTCATATCCCAGCATGCATCACACACTGTGCCCCATTTACTGAAGTACTGACGTTCAACTCGACCAGAACAGGAGTCTGAACCATTTACTAGACTAACCTCAGCATAACCTGTATAAAGGATTTAGAGGTTCAGAAACAACATATAATGCAGCTGACATTATGCTGACACAGCTGACAAGTTGCATTGTGTAAAAAAAAACAAAAGATGAGACACTGAATATTGATACTTAACCTGAGCAGATCAGTCCCATATTGTCACTGGTGCAGTTGTGTTTGTGTGATGATGATATTGAACAGAATGAAATCTGAGATTCATTTCCTCTGCACTGAATCTCTTGTATCCACATCTGAGTGTCTCCTTTGCCAAAAGCAGCTGCTCCCAGCACCTGTACAGGAGCCCCACAGTCCAGCTCTCTACACACAACCTCTGCATCCTGCTGGTCAAAGGCAGCGTCACACACTGACATCCACGTCTGATCATGAAGTATCTCTAACCTCCCAGAGCACAGGTGAGATCCATTAACAAGTCGAGGTGGTGTATGACCTGTTTAAATAATGTGAATCACAGTACACAAAAACAAATAAAACACATGGTAGTTAAATACCATAACAATACAACAAATTTATAAATACAGTTTTCCAACCAAAACACAATTATTCTTTGTGTCATCATAATAAATCCATGGGCAACCATTTTTTTTTCTCATTTACCTGAACAGATGACACCAGCATCAGAATTGTGAGTACAGGCATGTAGACTCCATCCTGATGACCCACAGTTTTTCAGTGTAGACTCTGATCCAGTACATACTACCACACTCATCCAGATTGGTCCTGATCCTGATCCAAAATGAGCACCACCCAGAGCATCTACAGGTTCTCCACACTCCAGCTCTCTACACACCACTGCAGCATCAGGCATATCCCAGTAATCATCACACACTGTTCCCCACTGATCTCTATGAAGAACCTCCACTCGACCAGCACAGCGACTGTGACCATCAACTAGCCTCACGTTTTTTTTATCTAAGTGACAAAAGAATACAGAGAGAGAGGCTACAAATAAAAGTAGGGTATTTTTAATAATAAGTCTTATTTTAATTCTCACCAGCACATAGCAGCCCCTGGTAATTATCATGAGAACAGTCGCTTTCATGTGATGGCGATGTTGGACAGAGGTGAATCTGAGACTCATTTCCTCTGCACTGAATCTCTTGTGTCCACATCTGGGCGTCTCCTTTGTCAAAAGCAGCTGCTCCCAGCACCTGTACAGGAGCCCCACAGTCCAGCTCTCTACACACAACCTCTGCATCCTGCTGGTCAAAGGCAGTGTCACACACGGACATCCACGACTGATCATGAAGTATCTCTAACCTCCCTGAGCAACTGGTGTTTCCAATAAGCTTGACATCTGAAGTAATACAAGAGAAGAAACGTTTAAAAAAAAAAATTTTTCAAAAGCAATTGACACTTGTTTTCATACACTTTCGTTATCTCAATGCGTAATGCTTGTCATTGCTGGTCAACCACAAAGTAACATTTACAGTGAAAAGGAATCAAAGAAAAATATTCAGCTAATTTAAGAAGGGTTCATTTAAAGGATTAGTTCACACACACACACACACACACACACACACAGATTGAGAGAGAGAGAGAGAGAGAGAGAGATTGAGAGACGTTTGACGTCTCTTTATTTATACAAAATTACTATTATTTTTTCCTTTTTTTTTTCCACAATTACCAACCATCATCACATAACATCAATTCTACACAAACATTTAATTACCTACCACCAAATTTAAAAATTAAGAATTAGGTTTTCCTCATGATCCATAGTACACAACACATCACTTAAACCCCATGTTTCCATAAAACAAGCCAGATTTTTAGTCAGTTTAAAATACACAAATTCTGCTCTAATCCTTGACGTCACAAAAGCTCTTAATATTATATCAGGGTCTACCAAAGCTTCTTAATTGATATTTTTTTCCCTTGTCACCCATATTGCCATTTTGGTTTCCGCTATTAAAAAATTAATTATACCAATTCTTCTCTTATCTGAAGCCTTATAATTCGGCCCAAAAATGAAAATATTATCATTGAACTCTTCACCTAGTTTTTCAATCCAGTTTTCTAATATCTGAAAAACACCTCTCAATCTAGAACAAAATAAGAACAGGTGATCAACTGATTCCTCCAAATCACAAAAGGGACACTTCTTTTCTACAGTGGGATCGATATGTGCCACGTGTCTGTTTGTAGCTACTGCCCAATGTTTAATTCATACAATGACTTCCAGCACCTTCTAGGAGAAGAGTTTGGCCCCAACACAACACATCTGACCACTTTGTTTCTCTACATTCCCTCAGAATTGCCTGGTGAGCAACTTTTACACAAGTCAAATACAATATTTTCTTTGAAGCCTCTTTGAAACCATGTATCTCTGGAGTCCTAAAAGAGAGGATTGATTCCTCTTGTGGTTCTTCTTCCACCAAAGCCGAAACATTGAGTTCAGGAAAAAAATCCTTCTTTATCTCTTTCTCTTCTTCATTCAAATCCTCTTTTCTTAATTTTCGATGACGAGTAGGAGGAAAAAATGAAAAAATCTCATCCATTACGTGTTTCATGAATCTGACGGACTTGATTCCTGTCAGATCACATTCCCTCTGGGCTTTTCCACTCATCATAATGTTTTAAGTCCATTATCCTTGTGCATCCAACTCTTGCCATTACTTTCTGAAGGCTTCTTGAATTAAGCACCTTTACTTGAAGTAAAGGATTATTAAAAAGAGGCTCTTTGTTTATCCAGGGCTCAGAAAAAGGCAGGTCTCTCTTCACTTGAAAAATTGAAGTCCATGTTCTCAGCATAGTTTTATAAAAAGCAGATGTTTCTTTTAAGTCCATTTCTGTTAAATTAATTAAAAACAAATGTAAATCATATTTAAATACATCAACTTTGTGTAACAGGGTTTTAGCTGTTTCAGTCCAGCACCTATTCAAGTACAGCAACTTTTGTGCTGCCTGCAGCCTGAAAGTCTTAATTCACTGGTAAGAAAAGAACGGCAGCTTTAGTCCAGTGTTGTCCAGTCCAAAAAAAATCCACTAACCTTTTTTTGTAATTCATGGATCTGGTGGATCCAGGACATTCATTTTGTGCCACAGTGCCGAAGCTGCTAAATTATTTGTGACCAAAACTCTTCCTCTATAGGATAACTGTGGTAGCACCCATGACCACTTAGACAACCGGCAACACATCTTCTCCACCATTCCTTCCCAATTTTTCATCTTAAATGTTTCAGTCCCTAAATAAACCCCTAAACATTTCAGCCCCTCTTGACTCCACTTAACAAAACCTGGGAGCTCTGGAGGATTTTCATTTACCTTTTGTCCACAATAAAAACCTTCACACTTTTCCCAATTCACTCTTGCAGTTGATGCATTTTCATACATTTTCAATGTTTCTTTTAAACCAGACACATCTCTCTCATCCTTAATAAAAATTGTAACATCATCAGCATATGCAACAAACTTAATAGGTTTTTCAACAGAAACCCCTTGTAATGTTTTCTTTAACTTACAAAGTAAGGGTTCAATGGCCAATGAATACAACATCCCTGATAACGGGCATCCTTGTCTAATTCCTCTCAACACTGGAATAGGCCGACTGAGCCCACCCCCCACTTTCAACATTGCAGATGCATCATTATACAACATTTTAGTCCATGAAATGAAACTCTGACCAACCCCAAAAGCTTCAAGCGTTTTAAACAAATAAAAATGACTAACTTTGTCAAAAACTTTTTCTTGATCGATTGCAAAAATGCCCAAATTTTCACCATTCAAACTTGCAATGTCTATTATGTCTCTTACAAGAAACAGATCGTCCATTATTGTTCTGTTGGGTATACAATATGTTTGATATTCATTGACCATACATTCTAAAAAGGGTTTCAATCTATTAGAAAGGCATTTTGCCAAAATTTTATAGTCAGTGCATAAAACAGCCACAGGTCTCCAATTTTTCAACAAACCAAGATCACCTTTTTTAGGTAACAAGGATAAAACCGCTCTTTTACAACTAGTAGGTAATTCATGTTGTTGATAGCAATAATTAAAGACGTCATATAAATCATCTTTCAAAAGGTTCCAAAATTGTTTATAAAACTCAGCCGGAAGTCCATCTATACCAGGTGTTTTTCCAGTTGAAAGTTTTTGAACAGCAGCAGACGGTTCTTTTAACTGGAGGCCAGAGTCAAGCCGTTTACTCTGTTCATCAGAGAGTTTCAGTAAGTCTTTGGATTTTCATTTACCTTTTGTCCACAATAAAAACCTTCACACTTTTCCCAATTCACTCTTGCAGTTGATGCATTTTCATAAATTTTCAATGTTTCTTTTAAACCAGACACATCTCTCTAATCCTTAATAAAAATTGTAACATCATCAGCATATGCAACAAACTTAATAGGTTTTTCAACAGAAACCCCTTGTAATGTTTTCTTTAACTTACAAAGTAAGGGTTCAATGGCCAATGAATACAACATCCCTGATAACGGGCATCCTTGTCTAATTCCTCTCAACACTGGAATAGGCCGACTGAGCCCACCCCCCACTTTCAACATTGCAGATGCATCATTATACAACATTTTAGTCCATGAAATGAAACTCTGACCAACCCCAAAAGCTTCAAGCGTTTTAAACAAATAAAAATGACTAACTTTGTCAAAAACTTTTTCTTGATCGATTGCAAAAATGCCCAAATTTTCACCATTCAAACTTGCAATGTCTATTATGTCTCTTACAAGAAACAGATCGTCCATTATTGTTCTGTTGGGTATACAATATGTTTGATATTCATTGACCATACATTCTAAAAAGGGTTTCAATCTATTAGAAAGGCATTTTGCCAAAATTTTATAGTCAGTGCATAAAACAGCCACAGGTCTCCAATTTTTCAACAAACCAAGATCACCTTTTTTAGGTAACAAGGATAAAACCGCTCTTTTACAACTAGTAGGTAATTCATGTTGTTGATAGCAATAATTAAAGACGTCATATAAATCATCTTTCAAAAGGTTCCAAAATTGTTTATAAAACCCAGCTATACCATCTATACCCAGCAAAGTCCATCTATACCAGGTGCTTTTCCGGTTGAAAGTTTTTGAACAGCAGCAGACAGCTCTTTTAACTAGAGGCCAGAGTCAAGCCGTTTACTCTGTTCATCAGAGAGTTTCAGTAAGTCTTTATGTAACTCCTCAATGCATTCAACGTCACATTGTCCTTCTCCAAATAAATCCATATAGAATTCCGAAGCAATTTTTCTCATTTCTTTAAGATCTGAAATCACATTCCCATTTACATCTTTCAAATGCAACATCATTGTTTTTTCTTTTGCTTTCTGCTCTAAATTAAAAAAGGAACTTGGTGCATCCATTTCTCTCAAAAAAGCAAAGCGAGCTCTAATTAAAGCACCCTTTGCTCTTTCGTGAAATAATGAAGCTAAAGCTTTTTTTTTTCTTCCAGCTTCCCAACTGTCACAACAT